GCTCCAGAACCCTCTCCTCTCGAGACAATTATCAGAGAAGAAATCGAAAAAAATCTAGCCGCGATTTCTAATCCGGTCCAAAGACCACAACCACAGTACAAAACCCAAACAAGGGTATTCACCCGGACACCTAGACAGCGGTAGCCTGACCAAGACACATCGGTATTCAACCAGACGCCAAGCCAAAGAGGAACAGACCAATGGAGGACCCACGACAACAGGCCAATCTGCTTTCATTGTGGCCGTCCAGGCCATGTCAAACGCTACTGTAGAGATCGCCAGCCAGTAGACCAATATGAATTAGAAAGACCTAAACGGTACATACAGATCTGCCAAACTACTCAATTCAATGAGGAACATTCTTCAAGATATCCAAACTACCGCCGACAATCGCCATACCCAAACAGAGGAAGATCCCCAAGACGCCAGTCCATTTCCCCAGACCGCCATACAAGCCAATCCCCACGCCGCTACAATCTAGAAAAAAACTAAGCGTCGCGTCTTCTTTCGAGGGGGAAGCCGCGGGTGTTAAAAACCGTCCATCGACGATAGCCGCCAAATTAGAACACAATTTTGTAAAAATAATTATAGATGACGTTGCATTTTCTGCCTTGGTCGACTCGGGAGCCTCATTATCTGTTATCTCGAACGGGTTAAGACGACACTTGAAAAAGCCGATGTTCAAGGATAAAGGAATAACTCTTAGAGTCGCCGATGGCAAAAAAAGTTACGTCTCTGGGTCGATGCACAATACGTTTGAGCATAAATGGATCGAGACAACCGCTTGAATTTATCGTCTTTTCCAGTAGCAACCCCAGCATCATACTCGGATGGAATTTTTTGGAAGCAACAAATGACGTGATCGATTGTGGACGTGCCGAAATCAGGCTTGAAGAAGCTAAATACGATTTGAATTAGCTAGCGACCGAGGATAGAATCGTGGCCTCTGAAAACATAATCATTCCAGCCGAATCTATCAAACAAATAAATGTGACGAGCTCAGAACTCAATGGACGAAACAAGGTACTTTTTGAACCTTCAAAATGCGCATTATTAAAAAAAGAACTATCAGTTCCCTATACACTTCTTACGATCAATCAAGGGACAGCTTTGGATTGCAAACTCTAGCCCAATAGCACAAATTATCCCTAAAGGAATATTTCTAGGGAGAATACAAGTTTTAGACGAAAATTACTTGACTGCTATCTCGGAGTGCTCTGATCCTGAAGAAAATTTGGCGCGAGATATTAGTCCCAAGAATGACAATAAGGGTGACATTGCATTTTTACAGAATTTGATTAGTAACGACTTATCAGCAGATCAACAATCTGAAGTCTTATCAATCCTGAAACAATTTGATAAGGTATTTGATACCAATAATGATACAGTAAGACAGACGCCTCTAATAAAGCATAAAATCGAACCTGGAGACCATCGACCAATTAAACACAGGCCCTATCGAGTTTCCCCAACAGAACGACAAGCAATCCAACAGGAAGTAGACAAGATGCTAGATGCCGGGATAATATGCCACTCTGAAAGCCCTTGGTCATCGCCTGTTATTTTGGTGAAGAAGAAAGACGGCAATTGGCGCTTCTGCGTTGATTACAGGCGATTGAACAAGATAACTAAAAAAGACGTTTATCCACTCCCTCGAATTGACGATACTCTTGATTTTTTAAAAGGTGCCCAATTTTACTCGTCAATGGACCTACGCTCTGGATATTGGCAGATAGAGGTAGACGAGGCAGATAGAGAGGAAAACACCTTCATAACCCCAGATGGTTTATATGAATTTCTTGTGATGCCCTTTGGCCTGTGCAACGCCCCTGCAACATTTGAGCGTTTGATGAACAAAATCTTAAGGGGATTTAAATGGACGCAGTGCCTATGCTACCTAGACGACAATGTAGTTTTCTCCAAAACGTTTGACGAACACTTGCGCCGACTCAAAATCATCTTACAATGCCTTAGCAATGCAGATTTGAGCCTCAATTCAAAAAAGTGTCTTTTTGGAACCAAACGAATAAGAGTGTTTGGACATCTCGTCGATGGCAACAGCATTTATCCCGACCCTGAAAAGATAGAAGCTACCGCCAAGTTTCCGACCCCACGATCTATCACTGAGGTGAGGAGTTTCATCGGCATTTGTTCGTACTTTCGCCGATTTATTGAACACTTCGCCGATAAAGCTGCCCCTCTCCATGAAATTCTCAAAAAAGGCAAGCAAGAAGCTTTTGAATCACTGAAAAGGGCCCTAATGTCTGAACCTGTCTTAGCTCATTTTGAAGAACACCTGCCAACCCAGCTTCACACTGACGCCAGCGGTTATGGTATCGGAGCAGTCCTCGTTCAGGTCCATGACGGGAAAGAGCGACCAGTGGGTTGCGCCTCAAGAACCCTAACAAAGGCAAAGAAGAATTACTCCACTGCAGAAAGAGAATGTTTGGCCGTGATATGGGCAATAAACAAATTCCGCCCCTACCTCTTTGGTCGCGAGTTCGTCATCGTTACGGATCACCACACCCTTTGCTGGTTATCAAATTTGAAAGACCCGACAGGAAGACTGGCGAGGTGGGCCATTAAACTCCAAGCATACGACATTACGTTAGCTTATAAAAGCGGGCGTAAGCACCAAGACGCGGATTGTCTCTCCCGAAGTCCTCTCGAGACCAAATCGGAAGAAGAAGCAGACGAAGAAGAAGATGATGATGATGTACCATCAATAACTGCTCTGACCTGCTTTGATACTGAACAGAGAAATGGCCCAAGAATTATAAAATTGATAGAAGAAATAGAAGAATCCGGAGACGAACCAATAGGATATGAACTGGTGAAAGGAACCTTGTACAAAAGGAACTTCGACCCCCCTGGGAAACCCACACCTCCTCGTTATCCCCAAGCACCTACAATTGGAACTACTGAGAAGCCTACACGACGCTCCTACAGCGGGCCACCTAGGATTTTCTAAAACTTATGAGAGGGTTAGAAACAAATACTTTTGGCCAGGACTTCTCAAGGATATACGAAAGTATGCAGCACATTGCAAAGAATGCCAAAGAAGAAAACATATAAACCGCCTGGATTGCTCAAACCCATACCTCCTGCAACCTTCCCATACCAAAGAATCGGAATAGATCTTCTTGGGAGATTCCCGAAATCCCTTGACAGTAATAAATGGATCATAGTCTGTACTGACTATCTTACTCGATTTGCCGTTACTTAAGCCTTACCCACAGGGGAAGCAAAAGAAGCAGCCAAATTCTTAATGGAAGATGTTGTTCTCAAGCACGGAGCCCCTAGATAAATCATCACGGACCGAGGACGAGTATTCCAATCCAAGTTGATTGCGGAACTCACCAATTAATGCTCGCCGATACATCGGTTCACGACAGCGTATCATCCCCAGACGAATGGACCGACAGAGAGGTTAAACAAAACCTTAGCCAACATGATGGCTATGTATGTAAGTGTTGAACAGAAGGACTGGGACGTAATCCTGCCCTACGTCACGTTCGCCTACAACACCGCGAAACAAGATACGACAGGTTTTACCCCTTTTAAACTGATTCATGGGCGCGAAGCCGAAACGACTTTAGACACTCTTTTCCCAAATTCGCATGAAGATTTCCAAGAGGAATACATTCAGAAGATTGCCTCGCGAGTCGAAGAGACTAGGCAGCTAGCAAGATTAGAAACCTTGAAAGCCCAAGAAAATGACAAGGCCAGATATGATTCAAAGCACGAGGCAATGGATTACAACGTCGGTGACCTGGTATGGATTTTCATCCCAATAAGAAAGGTGGGACTCTCAGAAAAACTGATGAAAAGGTACTTCGGGCCATACAGGGTTACTCGGAAACTCTCTGACGTGACCTTCGAAGTTGAACCTGTGGACCAACCAACCAGGAGACGCCAAACAAGAGACCTGGTCCATGTACTGCGAATGAAACCCTACCATGACCCTGAGGACCAAGCTGATCTGTTCATGTGATAATTACAGCGGGACGCTGTTCATCTAGAAAGGGGGCAATGTCACTGAATAATTATTTTAAATATTCTGTTGTTTATCATCATAAATATTTGCATATTCATCACCCCTTACCATGCTTGTAAATTACCACTTGAAAAATCCTTTGACACATTTTGCATTATATAAGTTTAATTAATTAATAAATTATTTTTAATTAAGTTTTGGAATACTTGTCTTCTCTACCGTGACAATATCATCGCGTGAAATTTCTTAATGTTTTAATGGTGAATAGTTACAGAGGACTTCGAGTTAGCATTTCATCTATATATGTTGCAGGAGGATGATATTCATGTACCAACAGAAGCCCCTCTCTCTTTAATCGCGCATCAGAACGATGCACTGTTCATCACTCTAGTAAAACACTTTACTAGTGATGATAAAGAATGAGCCCCAACACCAGTTTTGGCAAATTCAGATAAAAATCCAACCTGTATACCGTGGTTTCGGGCTTTGACCCTCATCAGTACAGGGGCGGCTTCGATTTCATAACATCCTGCGATTGGGGTTATGAAATCGGTCGAATTTACCAAACAGGTATTCAAGCTGGTGAAAAGACATGAGGGCCGATTTTCAGACAAGAATACAACATAAAGGGATAGGTACCTCTTTTTTGGTACATGAATATCATTCTCCCGCAACTTTATATTGTATTCTTGCCTGAAAATCGGTCTTTCCAATTTCACCAGCTTGAACTCCTGTTTGGTAAATTTATAACCCCTCTCGTGGAGTGTTATAAAACTGAAGCCGTCCCTGTACTGATGAGGACTAACCTAATGTTGCCAGGGTTGTAATATATCAAAACTTCTGAGTAAAGAAGAGCACACCATTCTCGAAACCTCACGTTCTACTTTTATAATTTTGATGTTAAAAGGAAGTTATTGCTGAAAGTGGACTTTAGAATGTAAGTGTTTATTACATGTTTGTGTGCTTCAACAGAATGGATATCGTCCGTCCATTGCCACCAATTCTGAATCAATCACACCCTTAAGACTTTGGATGTTGATGTTGTCCAAAGTGTTGGAGTGTGATGTGACTCAGAGTTGCCTTCACATCGTTAATGGGACAACTTTTCACATCTCCTCAACCAAAGTGGATTATAAAGGTAACTTTCACATTATTGAGTTTTTTTTTTAAATCCTATATATATATTCAAATTAAAAATAATGATTTTATTTTAAAAGAATGTTATGACGAAAGTAGGTTTTCCCTTTTTGTCTTTATAAAGCTTGCTCCAAAGAGGTTTTTTTTTTTTTTTTTCATATAAAGTATGATTTTGTCTTAAGCGGACCATGTCTTCAGTGGAAACCTGTTGTATTTGACTAAATTGATTTTTTTTTTTGCATATTTAGTTTTTTTAATGACTTATCTAGACATAATTCACTCAAAGAGTTTAAGACTCAAATATTTTAAAAGTAAACGATATATTTTTCAAAAAGAGAAAGAACATTTTTAAAACTTCCCCCCAAAAACACCATACAGCTTGTTGTTGATCGCGCAGAATATGCACCGACTCCGCTCAAACCATAGGTCCCACATCAGATAACTCTTCCTACAGAAGGTAAGGGAGAGAAGCTGCCTCTGTACTCACCAGACCTATGGTAGGCTTACTTGTCCGAAATTTTCAAAACTGATTTTGTGGTTTCTTCGTTGATCTTATTCTTGGCGTTTCGCATGAAGAGGATCAGCAGTGTGCCGTTAAGGTGCAGTTTCGACAGGAATAAAGGCTTTCTCCACCAGTTTCAATCTATTAAAAAAAAAAATACCGAGAAAGGTATTTGATTCTTTTAAATGTTATATTTTAAATTTATTTGTACTTTTTATTGCTTTATTTTATTATATGATGCATCATATTATTTTATATAGATTCTTTCAAATATTTACTATGAAACTTCTTAAATATTGTATATTGTTCAATTTATTTATATACATCACACTGAATAATTGATTTGTTTCAATCTGCAAAGCACACACATGCTACTAAATGGCACTCCCAAGGTTCCGCACTAAGCCCATTTATGTATAATATCTCCCATCGCCCGGCTCCTCTTCACCATAAGGAAGAGTTTACTGGTTGCCTATTCGGATGACTTCACCCTGTTGGCTCAAGTTAGGGGTCGTCTGCCGACCAATACCATTAATGACTTTCTGGAGAGAGTCGTTTCTTGGAGCTCTGAGAACGGACTCAATCTGAACCTCTGGAAGACACTCCAGGGTGAAGAGTCCGCCCCATCCACGATCATAGACTCAAATTCCTTGGCCAACCAATCACCATTGGATATACAATAATCATTTTGGGGGTAGAATTCGACCAGACACGAGGATTCATCTCTCAGTTATCCAAACTAATTCGCAGGTTTAGAGCAATTGTTCCAAGATTGACTAACTCAATCCATTAGAAATTCGGTATTTCCTATGATGTTGGCATCAAAATCCTTCAGTCGGTGGTCATCCCGGCTTTTCTATACAGAGTTCAGCCTGGGGTCGTCGCGCTTCGTCCAAGGAGGCTGCCCGTCAGCTCCGGGGCCTCCACTACACGTTTGCAAAGCATATAGTGAGAGGGGGCCCTTGTACGCAACCAATACCAGCCATATCCCTGACAGGCAGTCCCCCTCTTGACATCATAATCCAGGCTCGGCTGGCTTTCCTAAAGGAGATCAAGAAGGGGAACTACGAATCGAAGCCAGGACCTGCTGCGCTGCCATACCCGCCATTCAGACGACCCCTTTCCTTCTGTCTGATCCTTGAAGAAATAAAATCGCCACTAATATTCACAGATGGATCAATAAGTTATCCAGTAAATACCCCCTTTTATAAGTGCAGCAATTATCCTCCTTTCCCAAGAACATCAGCCGGTTCTTCTACGTATTCACCCAGACTACACTGTCTATCAAGCCGAACTCTTATCAATTCTCTGGGCTGCTCAACTCGCAAAGGTAAATCCAAAAAAAAAAACAAGGAGAGACCATTGACTCGGACTGTAGATCCACTTTGCTCCTCTGGACCAATACGGACATCGTTAGTGGTGAAAACAATGCAAGTCCTGAGCAGAGCTCTACACCTTGAACTGTATTGGGTATGCGGACAAAGTGGAGTCGACGGCAATGGACTAGCAGACAGGGGCAGCAAAAAATGGCTCTACTTTTATCCTACCACACTTATACCCCACCTTGCCTCGAACTCATGCTCGAAACCTATCACGTAAGGCTGCTCTAGCGTCATGGACAGAAATATATTCCCAGGGCATCTCTCAGGAGAATTACCTCCACTCCAAGCCGTCTCCTGAAAGTTCTGCCATGAAGAGGCCACCACGATCATCCTCACAGGCTATGGCCATGTCCTGGCTGACCTTGCACTTGTTCAAACCGAAACAAGTCCAACCTGCCCCCACTGTTAATAAAAGTCACAGACAGTTGATTACATCCTCTTCACAGCTATCCAGCTTTCGCGAGACATAGGATGCAAACAGCTATCCTGCTTGAACTGACCCACCTTAACCTTACATCTATGGACAGACTCAACCTCAGCATGTATATATATATATTTATATATATATATATATATATATATATATAAATTCTCGTATTATATCAGCTTCTATGTTGTTTCTTGCTTTACCTTTAGACCTGAGTCCTTGACTGGAAAGCTCGACAGTCATATTGAATAAAAAAGAAAGGCAAAGCCACCATTTCCCATTAATTTGTTTTGATTATGTTGACTATTTTATCTCTATATACAAATCTATGCCATTCTGTATTTAAATGTTTTGTTGGTTTAATATAGAGCATGAGTGTGTCTATATATAGGTCACTGTAGACAGTCTACAAGGTGAGTATTGCTTTAGTAATGGCCTAGTTCGAAGTCATTGCTTCTGCGATACTTATCTTGCAGGAGCTGTTACATATCTACATAGTAGCCATGTAAGTACTACCTCTTTACATATCTACTCAGTCGGACGTTAGCTAGACTCTCTACTTTACACTCTTTACATTCTTCTGCAGCTTTCCATCACAAAATATCTTTATGGCAAATATCAGCTAACAATCTCTTTGTTTCTTTCTACCACTTTATGACAAATATCATCTTAGATCTTCACTTTCTTCCTCTCTGGAGTCAGTTTCCGATCTCCCTAAATTAAGATTTATTATTTTCAATCTTCAGTGCCCAGAGAGCCCGTCTCTAAATTTTTCTTTTAAGGGAATTTAAAAACTCCTTTTTTTTGTAGAACCCTACAGCCTTTTATCGTGTAGTTTTACGTAAAAAATATTTATTTTCAATAATTCTCTATAATTGATCTTTTATTTTAGCATGGTCTTTTCTGCCATAACTCATGTTGCACTTGCATATATGCCTATTTACATACCACTATATGTATATTAAAAATAATATGTAAATATATGTTTGTATGTAGTTTTTCAAGGTTTCTAGTTAAGTATTCTCTCTCAGACTTTTTTTTTTTCTTTATCAAATCCTATTATATAGATTAATTTCACTTTTTCGATTTTCTGTAAAATAGCTCTCTTTCTTGATATAACCCGGATTCCTGGAGCGTACTAAACTGTGAAATAGGTGTGTATCATCAATGTATAATAAATATTATTTTAAAATCTATTTTTGATCCTAGATCTAGTCATATAACTAGAATTTTAAGGTCCCCCCCCCCCCCCCCCCCCCCCCCCCCCCCCCCATTCTTATCATCATTACTATCATCATCAGGTCAATCGTAGGCCATCGTCAATTTCAAGTTCAGTCGCCGCCAAATTCCACCATTAGGTGGCTGCCACATGGTCCCGTCCACTACTGCTCCATATGTCTTATGTTCATTTAGGTTCAATAATTTTAATGTAAGATTCTCTGTGTTGAATATACAAATATAGTAAGTTTCATTTGAGAGACTGTCTAAAAACATGGCTAAATCTGGACTCTCTGGGAGGTAGTCTCTTATCAGAGTAGTCTTTCGACCTAAACAGACTCTCTGATGAAAGACCACCTCCCGGAGAGACCTAGTTAGGTAGATTGAACTGGCGAAACCGCTGGAAGGGTTCACTATTGATGAGCCAGGCCCTCCTATTATTTTATCATTGCAGTAAGGGCAGTAGAAAATTGATTTATTTTTAAAAGAATCATACGCGTCAAAAATAGTTCGAATTTTTCATAGCAGATGGCGCACTAATGCATCATATTAACATCTATGTATAGCTGATCAGTCATTGTGTCTTGAATAAAGACTAAAGAGGTCTTACTTTCATAGCTGATGGCACCCCACACCATGAAGCTAGGTTTTTTTATGTATACCTTTCCCCCCAGTGCAGTCCTTTGGAATCTTTCTTAGGGCCTACATTGCCGTCACGAACCCCTAAACTGAATTTGGATTCATCACGAAAAATGACAGAATTCCATTCTTGAGTCCAAAGACGTCTCTCTTCACACCAGTTGAGCCTGTCGCTTCTGTGTTTGGCAGAGAGTGGAATTATGACTAAAGGCCGACGACTACGGAGTTCTGCTTCGATAAGACCGTTATTAATGGTGTTCAGAAATGGTCCAGATGCATTCTGAACATGTAGAGCTGTTTGAATCATTGGTACAGTTATTGTCCTTGCTACAACCATCCTTCAAATCCACCTATACTCTCTCTGTTATTGCTCTAGGGCGACCTGAGCCATGTTTTCTTGAATCTTCTTCTGACCACTGAGAACAAACCCTTACAACAGTACTTTGATTGCAGCCTACTTTCATAGCAATTTCTCTAGTCGAAATTTTACCTTCTCTGAGGCCTGTGATTCCGCCTCTTTTAAAATCGTAAATGTGCTTGTATGACGCCCTTCTGCTTTGGAATTCTACAGATCAAAGATGATCCCAAGCTTGAATCTATGACGTGACTTGTTCTGACCTATCATATCAAAATTTCAATCAAATATTGTAGGAACATATGCTGAACAAACGGACTATGAAAATTAATCTGTTTAAAAGGAGCAAAACAACTCGCTCTTTTTTTTTTTTTTTTCTTCTTCTTCTTTTTTGTGCATGCGCTTGCGTGTTAGAACGCCGATTTCTCTCAGAGAACATTCTTTTAAAAACTTCAACCAACTGTTCCCGATAACCACCGCCGTGTTGAAGTAGAAATTTTGAATGAATCTATCCAAAATAAGCTGTATCGATTTTTTTTTTACCTATCAAAATATATTTCCGTCAAAACTTCCATAGATATTTAGGTCATAGAATTATTCTAGCCACTTTGCCGATCTTCAGGACCTGACGAAATCCAAGTCGGCTCTGGATTAACGATGGCCATTAGCCTGAAACAATGTTCTCTAGGTGGACCCTTCTCAATTTGCTAAAGTGCAGCTTTGTCACCGATCCAAATCTGCTAGTTTTCAGAGAAGTCCTGAGAGAAGGCGCATTGCTTTTTTCATCCGTTTTGACCAAATATGCTATCTTTCTTTTTATCAAATCGAATGTAATCTCTCTCACATTATTTCTAATTCGAACTAACCTATCATGTGTGTGCCTAGTGGAGTGCCATATTGCTACGATTGTTATGGGTGG